GTGTAATGGGGCTGGGGGGGGTCTGACGGGTTGGGGGCTCACCAGGGATGTGTAATGGGGCTGGGGGGGGTCTGACGGGCTGGGGGGTCACTGGGGCAGTGTAAGAGGCCGGGCAGGGGGGTTTCCCCTTGGCGTGGCCATCCCTTGGGATGAGAAGCCGCTGCTGAGCCCGTTGCTGGTTCCTGGCCGTGCCAGTCCCTGGAGGACTGCCCGCTGGACGAGGACGAGGATGCCTTCCAGGCCCTGGGGGAGGAGGATGAGGACATCGATCAGTTCAACGACGACACCTTTGGGGCCGGGGCTGTTGGTGAGACCCCCAGGGTGTGACCCCCAAATCCCCCGGGTGTGACCCCCAAATCCCCAGGGTGTGACCCCCATATCCTCCCTGTTTGTGACACCCCCCCACCCTGCCCAGTGTGACCCCGAAATCCCCTCGTGTGACCCCCGCGGCCCCCCCAGTGAGGCCCCCTGCGTGTGACCCCCCCAAATCCCTGTGCTGTGTCCCCTCAGATGACGACTGGCAGGAGGCCCACGAGCGGCTGGCGGAGCTGGAGGACAAGGGGGTGCCGAGCCGGGACGCGGACGGTCCGGCCGGGAATGACGGGGACGTGCTGGGCGATCCCGAGGACGCGCTGGCCGAGCGGCTCACGCGCCTCGTCATCGAGGGCGACCTGGAGGACCCGGCCATCATGCAGGCCGTGCACACCAGGGGGCCCACCCAGGTGGGCTTGGGGGGTCCTGGGGTGGGGGGTGGGGGGCGCGGGGCTGGATCCCACCGCCCCATCCTGACTCTCCGTGCGCTCCCCAGCAGCCCGGAGCGCTGAATTCCAGCATCTGGGACAGCTCGGCCGTGCTGCGGCGGATCCGGGGGCCGCTCCTCACTCAGGTACGGGGGGGCTTCACCCAGTGCGTCCCCCCACCCAGAACCCTGTGGCGGCGGGGTGGGTGGGATAAAATGTGCTTGGGAAGCGCTTCCAGCTCTGCCTGGGATGGTGGAGTGTCCAGCTTTCCTCGCGCTGGGTCCGGGTGGATGGGGTGTGGCTCGTTGTAGACCCTCGTAGTCATCACCTCTGGGAGGGGTGGAGTGGGACGGGATGGGGGGTTGTGGCTGCTCCGGGATCCCTGGTGACATCTGAGGGATGTCAGGGCTCGTAGCAGGATTTGGGAATGTTGGTGCCTCGAGGCAAAGGATTTTTGTCTTGTGGTTTAATTAACAGTCAGGCTTTGAAGTGCTGCCTGACCAACCCTCTCCCAGCCCTGTCTCAGGCTGGGAAGTGACACAGAATTCCCACCACACACCCTGTCATCCCGAACGGGGCTATTGGGATCCCTGGGAGATCCCAGGAAAGCGGGGTGGGACACGGAGAGCTGGCAGGAGGAGGGACGTGATGGGACGCAGTGTCCGTGCCCCCTGTGCCAGTGTGTGACCCCGGGGGGTGTTCCCCTGGCAGGAGATGCCGTCGGTGTCCGTGCTGGATTACGCTCTGCCCCAGCGGCCTCCGCAGGCTCGGGAAGAGGAGCGAGACCCCTCGGAGCGGGCGCTGCCCCGGCGCTCCTCGTCCCCCATCATCGGGAGCCCCCCGGTGCGGGCCGTCCCCATCGGCACCCCCCCGAAACAGGCCGCCATCCCCAACTTCAACCAGCAGGTACCTCCCCGCTTCCCGTGGCTCCAGGGGCTGCAGGATGCTCTCCCAGGGAGTGACTGTGCCGCTTCCCTCTTCCCAGATTCTGTGTCCCAAGCCTGTCCACATCCGAGCTACCATGCAGCAGCGCTACCCCACTCCCTACGGAGAGAGGATGTCCCCCAACCAGCTCTGCAATGTTCCGGTATCCAGCCCTTCCTAACCCTCTTTTCTTGGGGATTGACTTCCTTCCCCCCCCAAATCCCCAGCGCCCCATTCCCGTGGCTCATCCCTGCTCCCTGGAGCCCGACCTGCCTGGCACACCTTCCTTGTCCCATCTGTGACCCGGGTCCCTCTTCCCATGTCTTTTCCCAGAACTCCTCCCTCCTGGGCCACCCGTTCCCCCACAGCGTCTCTCCCGTCCTCACCCACCTGCAGAGGGCCCAGCTGCTCGGAGGAGCCCAGGTAAAGCCCCTTCCCGCGTTTCTCCAGCCCCTCCACGGGCGGAAT